TCCAGGTCTCTCACCTCCAGGTCCCTCACCTCCAGGTCCCTCACCTCTAAGTCTGCCTTGGGAGCCCTTCCACCTCACACCTAGGGGTGCCATGAGGAGAAGAGTCTGAGATACATGAACACACAGGATGCTGGGGGGAAATAATATTGATAGAAAAATGTCCTCCGTCCCTCCCATCCATGCTAATAAGTGCTTGACTTGGTGATGTTGGTTCCCATTTGGGATCCATCCCTGGCTCTACTTTGGCATCTGTTTTGATTTTATTTTATAAAAATGTGACTTTGTCTCAAGACTAGCAATACCCAGAAGTTTAGAAATTCCTAGACAAATGGCAAAATTAAAATCCTCTCTAAGGTTCATGCAGAACACTGGCTCTCAGACTTAGTGTGCTTTAGAATCATCTGGAACATTTGTTAAATGAAACAGAGATGGCTGGACCCACCCTCAAGGGTGGATTCAGATGGTGGGGAATGGGGCCCCCAGCACGTGCATTTCAAAGGCGTCGTCCCGTCCCGTCCCCCTGCACCCCCCCCCATCCCCACCGTGTGGGGTGGCTGGACTGAGGCTGCACTTGGAGAAAACCACTGGGAAGGGAAGACCCGGGAAGGGCTTTTCCAGGCAAGGACAATCAGAGGCTTCCCACTCTACCAACAGTCAGCTCCTGAGCTGTTCCCTGCACAGATCCTGGCCAAGTCTATGCAGATACTCTTTTACCTTGTCATTACAGAATGTTTACTGAACAAGAGTCAGTAAGTAAAGAAAGGTGCCGGTCAGTCTTAGTGGAGGCCGTGGCCTCACCCCGCCGTGTGTCTCCCATTCCCTAACACAGCTCGGTTTCCACCCCCAGCTGTATGCATCCTTCCGTTGCCATGACACAGCTCTGAAATTGACTTCCATGTGCACCAGCAATTTACACCAGAGGAAACAAAGTAGTAAACAAACACAAGGGAGTGGGGACGTTAGCTCAGCTCAGCTCCTCATCACAGAAATGCAAATCAGAGCATTCGGGGAGGCTCTGGTTCCAGGACTAGTAAAATGAAAAAAAAAAAAAAATAGCAACAGCAAATGTCTGTGATACAACAGGAAAACCGACAGGTGTGAATGATGCCAACGTCAACTGAAGAAAAAAAAATCCAACAGCTGTGTGGTGAGAGGTGGCCACGACCTGCACAGGGGACCCACCCTGCAGAATCCATCCTACAGAAATAATCCGATGGAAAGAAAGGGATCGCGTGGCCCGACAAGGCAGTGCCTTAGAAACCACAGCACAGTGGCAGGAGGGTGTGTCCTGCAGCTGGGGCCAGCTGCAATTCTGAGGAGGAAAGGTGTGAGGGACACTGAACGATGAAGAATACCAAATGCAGAACGGTGGGCGCAGCGCGGTCAAGACCCCGGTACCCGTGCACCTACCCGCCCCAGGGCTGGGGGGCCACGCGTAGGAGCTACCCACGCTGTGTTTGGAGGCGGGTGTGGGGTCCTTCCTCCCGTGCCACACTGCCTCAGTGACGATGGCCACGCTGCACGGCGGGGGCCACGGCCCAGTGCCCCAGCGACTCCTACCTTGGGAACTCTCGCAGCTCTCCTCGTCACTGTTGTCCTGACAGTTGTTCTGCCCGTCGCAGAGGAAGCTCTTGTCGATGCAGAGGCCGTTCCTGCAGTGGTAGCGGGCGGTGGAGCAGAGCAGGGGGTTGGCTGCTGCGAAGGGAAAAGAGGGCTGGTCACCAGGAGGCCAGCGAGTCCCACCCCCCGCGACCCCAGAACCTCCTCCAGCCAGCCGCGAGCTCGTCCTGCCCGTGGAAGGTCAGGCCAGGACAAGACTCACTCTGCCACCTTGCAAGCGTCCCTTCCCCCGGGTCACCGTACTGCCGCCTGTGACCACACCAATGTGGTCTGAATGACCATTCAGCGGCTCCCCCTGAATGGTCAACCCTAGGGTGGCCTGCAGCCTGCCGAGTCTGGGGCAAAACCTGGATCCCTGGACTTCTCCCTGGGGACTTGAGAGTGCACCAGTCAGTGACAGGAGACTCAGGGAGAAAAGCAAAGCTGAAAGAAGTAACTGAGTCAGGTCAGAGGTCAGAGGTCAGAGATCACGTGATCACGCCCAAGCGCTAGCAGGATCCTTCTGGCTCCCTCACTGTGGACCAGCCCGTTAATTCCTCGTTTATTCTTTATGACTTACGAATGTAAACTCCTGGTCTTGAGTCTTTGCCACCAAAAAAAAAAAATCCACAGACCCAGTGAGTCAGGTCAGTGACCGTTTCCAAAAAGCTCCTCCAAAAGGCTCCCTGTTTTAGGGACTTTCACAGAAAGAAAAGAAAATGACAGCTCTGAGCCCTGCTTTCAAGCTAAAGGGTGGCAAATGGTCAGTGTGAGGTCAACACATAATTACTTAATAACGCATAAGCAAATGTGCACAGGCAGACAGTGTCTCTGCAGCACAGGACACCTCGTGTCCCCATTCCTCATGAGGCTCACTCCAGGGCTCTGTTTCAATCAGAGAAGGAGTCACGTGGAAATGACCTTATTCACTGTGCAACCCTGGGTACATCCCTTCGCTTCTCCGAGCCTTAGTTGCTTTGTCGGTGGACAGGACTGGCTACATCATGGACGGATGCAGAGCAAATTGAAAATATGGGGTCTGCTGTTCAAAAATCATTAAAACCATTCATGACAGCAAGCACAGAGTATAAGAGTAGGCTTGGCACCCTCGTGGCCTAAACACCGGCCCTGTGTGACTGCACCAGTCACAGGCCCGTGGCTCTCACACTGCTGCAGCATTAATTTCAGAATTATGTGATTTCTATGAGAAAACACAGAGGGCCAAGACTGGCAGGCAGCACCCTCTAGTTATGTGTGTCCTGGACACACAGGGTGTGGCCTCCCACAGGGGGGGGACAGTGTTAATGATGAAGAGGGTTCAGTCTGGACCTCAGGTAGTGAACTGAACCTGAACTGCATGTGGCGAGACCAGCACAGAGCGGATGCCAGGCCCAGCTCGGGAATTGCTATGGGCTCAGGCTGTCAGCACCAGTGCCCCTTGCAAGGTCCCTTGCAAGTGTGAGGTGGCAGCTGCAATCTCTCTGCTGTGAGCTCCACCGAGCTGCTGTTGGGTCACACACAGATCACAGCTACCAGGATCTGGTGGAGTTCACAGGGCTGGGTCAGTTGAAGGCCTGCAGGCTCTATTTATTTTTTTTAACATTCAACCTAGGAAGTTTAATTTGGAAGGTCAGAGGAAGCAGAGGATGGAGCTCTGGGTTTAGAGGATGCTTAACTTGTGTAAAGCCAAATAAACCAAGTTCAACTTGAAAATGGAAGACTGGATTATGAAATTGCTGTGGGCCAGAGAATGGCTGAAACCAATGTCTGACTTTAGCCAAAACCCAAATGGAGAAACACAGAACCACAGATCATGTTGGGTTTTGGTCCAAGGCAGCACTCCAAAGCCTTCTGCCCATCAGCACCACCATGGTGACCTTCAGCATCTCTGGGACCTTGTAGGTCAAGTTGATGTGGCCAAGGAATCAGGAACAAGCAGCTCATTCAAGAACAGCCCTGGGAAGGCACCCAATCACTCCAAGGTAAGCCATCAAGACTGCGTTAATACCCTAGTGCCAAGCCCAGACTCGTTATCAACTAACTCACTTTCCCTTCAGCCTTAGACCCTTTCAACTGCATGAGCTTCCCCCCAGGGAAAAAGTCATGTGTGTGTGTGTGTGTGTGTGTGTGTGTCTACATATGTGTACATACATACTACCTATGTGTATGCATTTATACATGTATGTTGGAAAACCAAGTCACAGACTGGTTTGAATGCATGTAACCACCAAGGACTAGTAGCCAGAACATGTGAAGAACTCTCTTAATCAAAAAGTAAAGGACCACTCAATAGAAAGATGGGCAAAGGATTCAGTCAGGCATTTCACAGTAAGAAGAATGGCAAATGGTCCATAAAAACTCGGAAAAAAGTGTGTACTGTCACCAGTAATGAAGTGGCACTTCACACGCGTGACACAGAACATATTTAAGGGCTTACACTAAAGGTTGTTGGCAAAGAGGAAGTCTCATGGATTCTGAGAAGGAGTGCAAACTGGTAGGACCACCTTGCAGAGCGATTTAGTAAATTTTAAGGTGCGTATACCCTACAACCTGGTAATTTCACTTCTAGCTCTTACACACTCTACAGACAGAAGAACAAAGATGTTTGCTGAAGCCATTATTTGTAAAACAAAAAAATGGGAAATGACCCAAATGTTCATCAATAAGAGAACAGAGACAAGGTGCTGCACTATACAAGGGAATAGCTGAAAGCCTGAGGTGGCTCTTTTTCTGTAAAGGGACAGATGGTAAATATTTTAAGTTTTGCTAGCCACTGATGTGTCTCTGTTCTAATGACTCAACTTGGTCACTGGAGTGTAAAGCAGCCACAGAAAATTTGTAAACAAAGGGCCACGTTCCAATAAAACTTTATTGACAAACACAGACAATAGGCCAAATTTGGTCCAGGTCCATAGTGTGTTGTACCACTGTTGTACCACAGTGAAAAATGAAATGAACTGGTCACGGTGGATAAATCTCAGAAACATAAAAGTCAGTGGGGAAAGCAATGAGTATAATATGTATAGTGCTGTATCATTTATATGAAGTTATCTGTGCAAAAAATGTCATTTGTTATTAAAAGACATACAGTGAATCAGTGCAAACTCATATGACCAAAACCACCATCAGGTTCAGGGCAGTGGATGCCTCTGCAGAGAAGGGACTAGGATGGATCCGAGAGGGACCTGCTGCAGACTTCTAATTACATTTGGTAATATATATTTTTTTAATCTGAAGCAAAGAAAGCAACACACAGCATGTTGCTTGGAACCGGGTGTTGGGAACACAGGTGCTCATTTTATTTTACTTTTAAAAGCTTTTCTTAAGAGTCTCATCTTTTCTGTGACACTGGCTTTCCGTTCCCTTGGTCCCCTTTCCTCTTGTCCACCAACAGCTGCCTCAGCTCTCTTGACAAAAGAGGGGGTGCACATTTGTAAAGAGCCACACCTGAGCTCCTCCCTGGGTCTCTCCTCTGTGACTCCACAGGCCACAGAAAGCCCTAAGACGTGAGCCCTGTTCCCCACCCTGCTGCAGGGCAGAGGAACGGAGTGGGAGAGAAGGCAGAGAAGTACACCTCCACCCCAGCAGCAAGCCAGCAAGGAGGGCTCCCGTCAAACCCTGCACAGCCGGGTCCACGCCTTCCAACTGCCAGGAGTTCACAGAGAGCGCTCCAACTCCACCTCCCTCAGCACCTATTGATTCTCCATTGACCCAGGTCCCACCAAGCTTCGATGCCCCGTTCCCAAGGACAAAGCCAATGAGAAGGGAGAGGGGAGGCTCCTGACCACCCTGCAGACAAACGGACAGCAAGAAAAAATAAAGCTGACAACCTGGGAGGGGACATAAAACCTTAAAAAGACAGCCCAAGAATTCCAAAAGCCTAGCACAGCTTCAAAAGAGACTGGAAAGTTCTACAAAGGAACCAAAGGCAATCCCCACCCCTCCCCTCCCCCAGCCCCTGCGTCAGAGCCAGGTCTAAACAATGACTGTTCCTAAGGGTGACCCCTGAGCTTCTACCAAAAAAGGCAGACATGGACAAGAGATTCTGGTCAATGACAGGATTCAAAGACACAATGCTCTGAGTCACCTAACCAGAGTGGCAGATGTCCCCCACAGACCCCAGACACTTCAAGTATCCTCCCATGTCTGCCAGGTCCTCTGCAGCTATTGACAGGTTCAGTTAGACTGTGGCACCAGTGCACATGGACCAACACTGGAGGCTCTGGTGACTGGGGCTCAAGGCTCAGAGGTTTCTGCAGCCCATGGGGACTGTCCCAGAACCTGCAAACAGTCACCGCTCAACAAACAGAAAGGAGACCCTGCGTACTATTAGGTGTTATGGCCCAGGATCTCTAGTAATATTTAGCGTGCTCCAAAGGTTTATGTTTTCTTTGTCCTTGCTAAGTATGGCTTACTACGCACTCCTTGAGACAAAAAAAAAAAAAAAAGTATTATTTTATTCAGTTAACTAGGGAGAGGAACACTGTTATCTTATAGTATTTATTTCACTGGAGGTGGAGAAAATCATCTGTGGAGTCAACTTACTCAATTGTAGGCTCCAAAGCTCCTTGGGTATTATTAGCACAAGAAATACAGGGCTCTAATGGTCTATTTTCCAACCCACAATATGCAGGAAAGAGAACGTGTCTCTCTCTGCCATGACGGAGGGAGGTGTGAGTTAAGGGAACCGCTTAGCGGTTAATTAAACTGGCGCGTCTACTTGGACCACATCTAAAGGAGCGGGCCAAGGGACCACTGTGGTCACCCAAAAGCAGCTGAGAGGCTTCAAGACAGGAAATGAGGCAATCTGTCTCCGGCAGGACTTAAGAAGTCCTCTTTCACCACACAAATAGAAAACTCCTTGTCACCATCCCCCCAAATTCCCACCTGTCTCCCTGTCCTGTGGTTGACCACCACTCAATGGGTAATCCTGGATTCCCTGGGGAGCTCATCTCCCCAGCCCCCACTGCCCTGCAAACCACACAACTGGAGACGATGGTGCTACACTAAGCTTTCGTCTTCTCCAGGATGGAGATGTGGCACCTGGAGGGTGCCGAGGGTCAAGGCACCCAGAATAGGTGCTTGCTACATGCTGATTATCATTATTAATGTGCATTAGGGTAGTGGTTAAGAGTTCAGACCCTGGGTTGAGATCCCAATTTATCACTTACTAATTATGTGACCATGACAAGTTGCTTCACCTTTCCATGTCTCCATACATCTGAAAGGGGGGTGATACCACCACCCACCCACAACGAATTCATCTGCATGAAGCATATGGAAAGGCATACACAGGAGGTGCTCAATAAGTGCCCCAGGTGGTTCATGTGGCCTGGGCAGCGTGCACATCTCCCAGACTCACCTGGGCCCTCGCCTGGAACACCCCATAGGTCTGTATTTAAAATGGTACCCACACTCCTAAGCTCATTTCCTTCAACCACCCCCACTAAGGAGCCCAGAGGAAAGGAATGTGTCCCATCCCTGATTCCCACGGCGCTCCCCACTGTCAACTCCACGTTATCATCAGAGGAGATGAGTATTTTTGGATCTCTTACTTGAGTATAAGCTCAAGGATGTCAGGGTCTGTGTCTGACCCATCTCTGTCATCCCTGCAGCATCTTGCGTGGTGTCTGGCACAGAGATTGTGGAAAGAAGATGAGAATCTGAAAGAAGGCAGGAGCTGGGGTTAGTGAGCAATGTAAGGCCAAACCCACTCTGGGCGCACCCCGGCACACAGGAGAGGGTTCAGATGTCCCTATTTTAAGAATATACCCTGACTGCAGTGGGGAAGGGAGGCTGCCTCAGTCAGCCTGTCTTCCTCAGCCCTTCATTTGACTAGTTACTTGGTGCGTTCATTCAACAGTCACGTATCGACTATTTCCTTAAAATAAATCACTCTACTAAGCTCTGGAGATAAAGCACAACCCAATCTCTGTTCTTAAAAAGCTTCCATTCCAGACGGGGAGTCCAGTCAATAGGACATGGAGATACAGCAGGAGAAGTCCTATTTATTGTACGTAATCTATCACCTGCTAAGGATGAGGCTGCAGTATGCTCGGCTGGGAACAAAGTACCATCTCACGGCGGCCAATCCAGCAGGGAAGACAGAAGACCAACAGTGCTGAGAGCAGAGAACAGACAAGCACAGGGTGCAGAGTGCAGAAGTCATTTCTCACAAGGGGGTCAAGGCAGGCCCCCTCTCCAGGTGCCCGTTGCTTGAGGAAGGCTCGGGTGGTGCGGGGGAACCCACAGGATGATCCAAGCCAGCCCTGGCAAACCAGGGAGGCTTCTCCAGGAAGCAGGTCACCGAAGGAGACTCAATGACAAGGCTGTGGAGCACTGGCAGGAAACGTTTACCCCACTGAGATTCCCAGACCACCCAGTCCAGCTAAGGGGCAAACAGGAAATGCACAAGGACAGACTTGGGCCAGCACCCACCGTGGGGCTCTGTGAACAGCAAGACAGACAGACCAGGGAGACCCTTCTGCTGGGCTCGGGGCCAGGCAGATTCATCCCCAGGGAAGAGAGCAGTGCAGGACAGGGTGGTTATGTCGCAGGGCATAACTCTGCCAAAGCAGGAACAGAGGATGCTCGGCCTCAATGAATTGGCTACGGTGGTCGCCAGACACCGCTGTCCCGGTTCACAGCTGGAGTCCCCGACCTCCCTCAATGAGGATCCTGAGAGCCACACGGGCAGTGGACCTGGGGCCTCCCTCCAGTTGGGAAGGTCCAAGCACAATGGAGAAGGGAAGGCAGATGCAGCCAAGGGAGGGGAAAGGAGAGGAGAACCTCAGGACCGTGAGGCTCCAAAAGGGAACCTTGGCCCCGCTGGTCCTTACTCCTGAGAGAGGAAGAAACGAAAACCCTGGAAAAACCCAAGGCTGTTAAATCAGACTCTAAAAATGGGACTCTGGAAGTCACCTGTTCAAGCCAAGAAGTCACCCAGCAGAACCACTCCTTTATCTTTCATCTATTTCTTGGGTCATCTTATCAGGGGATTTTTTTTCCAAACGCATCAAAAATAGAGGCTGGTTTGATGAACTCCATGCACCAATCACTTGGCTACCACAATTACCAACTCCCGGGCAGTTCTGTTTGCCCCACCCTTGATCACCCTCCCTGCCCTGGTGGGACTGGCTCCAAGCACACCCAGACATCACGTAATCAGATCTTTATAGACTTCAATACATATTTCTATAAGATATGGATTTTTAAAAAATAGTCACAATACCATTCTCAAACTTAAAAAAAGTTAACAACAACGTTCTCATATCATCAAATATCCAACCGCCATTCAAAAATCACCAATTATCTCAATTTCGTTTCTTAGGTCATCTTATTAGGGGATTTTTTTTTTTCCAAACAAATGCAAAAATAGATGTTGGGAATGTCTTAGTTACTTGGAGTTAGGATTCAAACAAGACCCACACACTGCACGGGGTTAATGTATCTCCTGGCCTCTTTGAATCCATGGTCCCCTCTTCCTCTATGTTTCTTCTTAGAATTTATTTATGGATGAAATTGGGCCCTGAGGAATCCCCCACACGGTGCATCTGGCCGTGTGCCTCCCTATGGGGTCATTACCGTGTTCCTCTCTCCCCGAGTTTCCTATGAACTAATGGTGAGATTTAGAGGCTCAGTCAGACTCAGCTGGGACGCTGTTGGCAGAAGCACCTCTCAGTGGTGATGGGGGCTCCAGCTGCCTTCCATCAGAAGCCAAATAACGTCTAGTTGTGTCTCTTTTTGTGCAGCGAGAACTGGCTTTTGGGAGACTCCTATGACAGGTCAGAGACAGGAATCCCACCTCCCTCTGGCTCTCCTACTGAAGGCGGCCTTAGAAGCCAGGCTGGGATGCAGGCAGCAGCGATCTACAGACTCTGTTAAGTGATTTGGAGCAGCCCAAGTGGGGAAAAGACTGAAATTTGAACTATCAGCAAAATGGCGGTGAATTTACCATCCTTCCCACTGTCCTTAGAGTCTCAGAAACTGGAAAGGGCCAGACAGAACAAGGAGAGGATCTTGAAAGTCATGCCATAAAGATGTTTCTGAACTCCTAGGCTGGTCCCCAAGCTGCACCAGGGTGGATCTGGTCCTAATGAGTGCACCAAAGTCATTGAGAATTAATTCACAGAGAGACAACTGGGGGTGCTCATGCAGGAAAGATCCAAACAGTGCCGCAAAAAAACAGTCTGAAAACTATTAAAACCACGTTTCTACCCACAGAGAGTAGAAACATGCCATTTGACCCAACCAGTCATTTGCCTACTAAAACAAAAATATAAGGATCCACAGTGTCGGACATAACAAACAAAATTCCCAGAATATAATCTGAAATCACTTGCCCCACAGAGAACCAGGATAAGAACACTCAGGTGTCAGACTTCCATGGCGAAGAATTTAAAGCAGCTATTTTAGGAATGCTCTAACAAGCAATCCCAAACCCCCTTGAAACAAATGGACACACACGGTCTCAGCAAAGCAACGGGAGACCCAAGAACCCAGAGGAAATTTCAAAAGGGAAAAATACAGCGGCTGAACTTAAAGCCAAATCCAACACTGGATAAGGTGGAAAGAAGGGGACCAGAGAAAGAATCAAAATAATCCAACCTGAACAAGAAGAAAATGACAGACAATGAACAGAGTCTCAGAGACTCGTGGGACAGTGACAGAAGACCCGACATCGTTGTCATCAGAATCCCATCAGGAAAGAAGAAAGAGGACAGTACTTAGAAAATACTGAAGAGTTGAAAATGTACAAAGTACGGCAAATGACAAAACCTCAGGAAACCCTGAACAGAATACGCCTGTGACACAGACAGTCAACACCATCATCTAAATGTGGAAAAGTAGAGACAAAAAGAGAAAAGAAGAAAAAAATATATACTTCAAGGCATAACCTTTGGGGAAACAATCCAAATGACTATAAATTTCTCTTTGGAAATCAGAGAAGCCAAAAAGAAGAGGCACGTTTGAAGTACTTAGAGAAAAGAAGGATTAACCCCGAATTTCCAACACCATAAAAATACCCTTCGGGAATGAAGGTGAAATAAAGACGTTATCAGAATGAAAAATCGAGGGAATCTGTTGCCAGAAGACGTGCTTTAAAAGAACAGCTAACGGAAGTTCTTCAGACAGAGAGGGAAGGATCCCAGAAGGGGACATGGAACATCAGGAGGGAGGGAAGGAACCGGAGCGGGAACCGACTGGGTAAATACGATATTCTCTTCTCAAGAAGCCCTGAACATACACTGGAAACTTTACAGTGAAAAATTAAAACCCCATCTTGTGGCTCTCTTGAATGAATGGAGATGGGCAATGTGACACCCATAACCTAATGAGCCCACAGTCAAGTCTCCACATTCCATTGAAGTGGTGCAACATCAGTTCACAGCTGTCTGAAAAGACAGACAGGTGGCTTCAGGGGTTTTCAGCCTGATCCATCACATAAAGCCCCACATCAATTTTCCACCCAAGGGTCTCCGCAGCCACTGATGACCATTAACTGGATCCAGGCTTCATTAGGGGTTACGAAACAGAAATACATACCCTCACTCTACCGGTCCTCTATTAGCTAGTATTCTTACATTAAAAAGATGTACTTAATCTTAAGTCTGCTCTCTGGTTACTTGAGGGTGCAATTCATACAGGAAAGGAAAGGTAAGTGTTTGACTCTTTCCTTTTATTTTCCAGTCTTCAAAAGAGTGAGTTAGAACCACGAATTTTAAATGACAGGTGTAAGGGAGGGTAACACTGGCTTAATCCCTACTTTCGTGATCTGGAATGGGTATAATGGTCTCCCTTGGTCAACTGAAGGGCAATATCCAAACATGGGAATCTTACAGTGCCCTGAATTATGGCAAGGAGCACGGGACGACACAATCACTTTTGAATATTCACATTAGGATGTGCAGCACTTGCTTTGTATTGCCCCTGGATTAATCTCGTGTGTGTGTGTGTGTGTGTGTGTGTGTGTATGTGTGGCACTTCCAGCTTAGATGATAAGATCCCGTGACAGTAGGAAGCTGAAGCCAAGCTGTCCCCATTTCCTAAAGGACTAAATAAAATATAAAAGAAGTATGTCCTTGGAGATCCCAAGCCAAAGGCAAAATCCTAATAATATGGTTTTGCCTTTAGCCACTCACACTTTTGTTTTAGATCACTATTTTTTATATCAATGACTCCGGGCCAGCCACAAGATAAAACCCTTCTCGGATACTACGTCGTCTAATTCTTACAACCAACAACCACCCTGGGACGCAGGTGCTCAGCACCCGGGTCAAGAGACCAGGAAACCACCTGCGAGCAGATTCTACCCACACCCACCTCCAGCTGCCGTGAGTGACCTGCGTGCTCCCTGCCGAGGCGGGTGTCAGTCACCCTACCACCCACACAGCAGTCCCCCGGCTGTGCCAGGCCTCTGCCAGCTGAGAGCCAGAGATGACATGCAGCGCCAGGAGAAGGCACGTGGGGCAAACGTCCTATGTTCCTACGAGGAGGGGACCCCATGACTGACAGCTCCCTGAAGCTGCCCAAATAGCACAGCAGACAGATGCCCTGGGCTCCAGGGACTTAAAATAGAACCAGAGGCCAGAGAAGATCAGTGCATCCACACGATCTCTGAGTCACCGAGATCTTAAACTTATGTTTTAGAAAGAAATGAATTACACGAGAAAACAGTCACAACGAAGAGCACATCACAACTGAGTACATTACAGGAGTGTGTGTGTGTGTGTGTACTAAGTGTGTGCACATGCGTGTGTATGTGTGCAGACACACATACTTGTACATGTGTGGAAAGAGGGAAGATAGACTGGCACCAAGTTGCTCACACATTAACAGCATTTCACTTTGACTTACGGGCCATGGGCAGTTTGGTTTCTTTGTTATAATTTATTTCCTAAGTTCTTTACAATAATCAGAAGAAAAGAATCTTATAAAGTTATGAGAGTGGTGGGCGGGTGGTGGACAGGGAGGAGTAGTGGGCAGTGGACGAGGGTTGCTAGGCCACTGCATGATTCTGCAGGAGGTGAGAGGGGTGGATACGTGTCACTGCACGTCTGTGCAAACCCACAGCGTGGACGACATCGGGAGGGAGCCCTAACATGTCCTATGGACTGAGGTGACAACGTGTGGCTGCAGGGTCATCAAGTGTAACAAATGCACTCTGGTGGGGGTACTGACCCTGGCAGGCTCCCAGGGGGAGGCGGGGCATAGGGGACCCTGTTACCTTCCTCTTAGTTTGGCTAAAACCTCAAACTGCTTAAAAACATGAGCACAGAAAAGAAATGTGTGGATCTGCTCAGTTCCCACAACAGGCACAGAGGGTCAAGTAGTGGAACAGGCACGGGGGAAGGAAAAAGAAACAGTGACCAGGGTGACCAGCAGCAGCAGGGACGAAGCACTTGCCGGGAGAGCTAGGACAACATTCAAGGTGGGACAGAGACACCTGAAGGTCACAGAGGCTGCAGTGTAAGGTCACTGTGGAAACAGGAATGCCTGCATGTACCCAGGCCAAACAGAAATCAAGCCCAGCAGCAAGACTGCCCCGAGGCAAGGAGGGACAGAGCAGAGGTTACAGTGTGTCTGTGTGTGTGTGTGTGTGTGTGTACACATTTGTCTGACAATATACTGATATCATGGACTATTACACAACAGGTAAAAGGAACCAGGGCAGACACAGTCAACAACATTATCCTACTCGTAATTTTTTCAACAACATATTCTTATGGTCTGTATAATAAGCATTTTTAAGAGAGTTCAAAGTAGGAAGGAAAGCAAGGAAGAACATGATCACGGGGTACTGAGTCAGAGTCCATCAGGTGAAGGTTTGGGTGAACCTGGAAATGGCTCTGCTACTGGTGAGCGGTCTGGGCTCTCCTCACTCAAGGCTCCTCGTCTGTTCACTGGGGACAAGACACCTGCGTTTGCAGGGCTAGTGTCAGAACTGCTCAGGCACAGTGCACCCCACCCTGTACGGCCCCCGGGAAGTTGCAGCTGAGCATTCACAGATAAACACAAGGAAGAAGTGGCAAAGACAGGCTGTGGGTAGGAGCAGGAGACCCAGCTGTGGGGTGGGGAGCGCAGAGATGGTGTGGCCAGAAGGGACAACCTGGCTGGCTGGAAAGGTCAGGGATGGCAGGGTCCCAGTCCTCGGCACTTACTGCAGTTCTCCTCGTCACTGCCGTCAGGACAGTCCTCAAACCCGTTGCACCGGAAGCGGCCGATGATGCAGTGGACGCCGCTGGCGCAGGGGAAGAACGTGGGGCCGCACTTGGACTTAGCTTTTGCTGCAGAGAGGAAAAAAGACGGAGAAACAGCGAGACGTCAATCAGGACGGTAAGGTCTCAGGCCACCGCGTCTTCCTCCTGTCCCCTCTGAAAGTGCAATGAGCCCTTGCAGGTTTACCTGGGGGTCCCCGAGGGAGGCTCACCCCCACCCCCACCTGGGATGCCCAGCGAGCCCGGACCCCCCACATACAGCATCCCCGAGGAAGGGAGGGGCTGATCCTGCCCCACACAACCTCTGCACCCCCCAGGCACCCAACCCCAGGTGCCAAACAGAGGAAGGACTAGGTGGACGGTGAGCCCGTGGGCGATGGATGGAGCTTGCATCTCAAGATGCTGAAGAATCCATTGAAATTCCTTCCCGGGTGTCAAGTAATCACGGTTGACATTTAGCAAGCGCTCACTGTACCAGGCCCTACGCCAAGCGCTCTGCCCGGATTATCTCCTCTAATCCCCCCAGCGGCCACCCAAAGGGAAGGCATGCAGAAGAGCTCACGCCCGGACACGCCCTCCTTACAGAGGCTGCAGGCCAGGGTGCTCCTGCTTGGCTGGAGCCTGGGAGCCTGGATTTGGGGAGGGGTCCCTCCACCGTAACTGAAGAGAGCAGCTCCCTGTGCCTACACTGTTTATGCCAATGGAACAGTTTGCGCTGAACACCTGCTTTCCTTTTGAGTGTCTGGAATCTGGGGACATGTGAGGCCGAAGGGGCTCCTGCAGCCGTCCAGGATAAACACTCTGGGCACTGACTCGTTAATGCGCCTGCCCGGTAGACAACACTTCACACATGTTACGACCCACTGCGAGGGAATCAGAGGCATCCTGTGGAAGGGACCAGGGCCTGCTCCGCTCTGGACTTCACTGCACCCCGGTTACCTCTGTGGATTCTGCTTTGTATCCTTTCCCTGAAATAGATCAGGGTCAAGGTATACGACTATACGCGGGGTTAAGTGAATCCTAGAAAAACTGGTGAATCTCGGATGGCCTTGGGGACCCCCAACACGGATGTCAAGTGCTCATCCCCTTTCATAGATGCATTCTGAGGATAAAGTGACTTGCCCAATGTCACACAGAGCTGGCGTGAGGCCCTGGGCACCCCTGACTCCAAGAAGCCACAATCCCAATCAACTCAATGGCACGGCTTCTCTGCCCAGGGTTTGTAATTTTCCACAAAAGAAGAAATTCATCTTGCCTTCCTGCCATATCAACAGTCTGGACAGAAACGGTTGATACTCAGGCTTGATGGAGTGTCCTGCTAAACCAAATGGCTCTGTGGGGTAATGCACTTTCTTGTTAATGGTGCTCACTGCATTGGTTGGTGATTGGGAGGTGTTACGATAGGATCTGTGGCCACGTCCAGGTAGCAGGCTCTCCTGAGCAGCCCTCTCGCTTCCTGTCTTAGAAGTAGGACCCACAAGTCCTCCCAGAAGGAAGGGCCATTTCTTTGGAACAAACAGGCCCTAAATCACCTCTGTGTTCCTGCCCTTTGTAACATGCCCACTTTGGCAGCAGCTGATTCACAGTCAACAGGGTGTAAAAGCCTGGGACGTGTCCAGGTTTTAAAAACCCACGTGGCCTTGTTTCCACCTGGAACAACCATAATGGTGTTGGGGAACCCTTCTCAAAAAAACCAGGAGAGCCCTGCCTTCCGATTCCAGCTCTGGGTCTAAGTCCTTGAGCAAGTTTCTAAATATTGTTGAACCTGTTTCTTCATCCATGAATTTCAAGTGCCATCTTTTTCCCAGGGCTCTGGTAAGTAGTCCATGAGATGACCTACATTAAGCACTTAGTACAGAGCATGGCATACAGCAGATGCTCAATTAGTGGAAAGATTCTGCCATTTATCATCATCACTAGAATTTTAAAACTGACCCTTCAGCTACTAGAACTTTTTTTCCCCCAATTACCAGAGTTTAAAAAGCTCATTATGGAAGGGCTCTGTGAACGGATAGGAAATGACTCCCACGATATACTGTTAAGTGGGGGGGAAAAAGTGCAAAAGAAGGGCCGGGGCTGTAGCTCAGTGGCAGAGCACTTGCCTGGCACGGGTGAGGCACTGGGCTGGATCCTCAGCACCACATAAAAAAATAAAATAAAGGCACGCTGTCCGTCTTCAACTATTAAAAAATCTTTTTTAAAAAAGTGCCAAAGAAGACATAGAGTATTTTGTCGTTCATATAGGAAGAGAAGGGGGTGAGGAAAAGAAAGAATAAAAATCACAACCATGTGTTGGCTCATCTGTACAAAAGAAATACAGGAAGGATCAACCAGAAATTGTACAACTGCAGATGGGTAGGAAAGGAACAGAATCCAGTAATAAGGATAAGAAAGGTGCATACTTCTGTGAGCATATCTATGTGTACAGATAGAGTCAGTCCATCTACCTATCTACCCACCTACCTCTCTCAGTTCACACTCCATCTCTCTGTATACACATCTGTCTCAGTTTATATTTGCATAGATAAACCCAGGGAAGTGTCTATCTTAGAGCCACGATAATAGGATCCAAAAAAAATTAACAGTTAAGATCAATCACATGTTGGAGAACTCAAAACGGAATTTAAGCAGTAACAAGTGAACACAACCTCCTTCTTCCACATGAATAACACCCCACTGAAGTGAGAGGTTTAAAAAGCTAGCCTTAAGCAACTGTGTACAACATTATTCTGACTGGATTCTCTAAGGTTAAAGGGGAAAAAGGACTCCATGTAAATACTGTGCTGCGGTTATATTTATCTTGCACAGGGGCAGGGAATTGCAATCCTGAAACTACCACTTGCATAGGCAAGGGCTGGACAAGGCAGTCGACCTTC